GAGCTAAATAAGATCAAATCTGCTGACTTGTTGTGAAATGAGATGTTTTTCTGTTTATCTTCTGCTAATAAATCTATAACATAAACAGCTTTTCTGGCATTATTTAAAACATTAGATAGATTTTATAAACTGTAAAATATTAATAATAATTGTGTTAATATTATTACTAATACTTTTTATGATTTCTACATTGTCAGTCCTTTTTTCCTGCTCTGTTGTCAACATGTAAAATAATGGGAAATCCAGAGTCTTGACCGTTTTGCTGCTAGCTTCACAGCACAGTTTCGTGGTTTCTGCGCACTCCAGCTGTTCTATAGAACCTCCTTGGCTAAGACACATATAAAGCTCTGCCTGATGACAGAGCCAATCATCACTGGCTTTTCTTCTCAAGCCTTTATGTGACAGAAGACTCAGACAGCCAAGCATTCGTTCAGTGTCCAGAATCATCTAAATAAAGTGGCAGACGCACAGACCATATGTCATCAACACTTTTGAGCTGCAAAACTGACGTTCTTCTTCACGTTAACCGTTTCGGCTGTTACCTCACTGCCTCATTCCATTCAAAAATCACACCAGTCTTGTGAAAAAGCCTACAGACCTGGGCAGAAACAGACACAGCCTGCCTGTTGCCTTTAGGCAGCGAGTAGTAAAATATGCATATCTGACTAATGAACACCACACGGAGGTGTGAACTGCAAAGCTCAAACATGACACCACAACCTCCTTAACCCTGTCTTTAATGACAGCAACCACCAAACTAAGCTGCCCTTTGACTCAWAACCACGATAAATCATCTCTTTAAAGTAATTTCTGATGATTAAAATATGAACGGCTTGCAAATAAAACACTGGAGGCTGTTTMATTTTGGCTGCTGTCTTTGTGAAAACTTGTTTTCTCTGTGGTTTTAATGTAGCAGATATTACCCTTTTTTTTAAATAAAGAGTATTTGGAAATTTAGTTGAGTTCCCCTGAATTTCAAATACATTTTTGTGGGTGACTCAAGACACAATCCAATTAAAGTTTGGCCACTTTCAGTCCTTGTGAATGCTTTGGATGTATTACAAAGATAATCTCTCTTATGTCTTTGTTTCTGTTACAAATGTCCCAATTATGTGCTTAGGTCTTTTCATCGTCTCTCTTTGGCAGCAGTGCAGAGTCTATAGGCAGTGCAGATAAAAAATAATAATAAAAAGAACATGACAGAACCGGCAGGATGGCACAGCCTTGGGCTAATGATTTAATGAGGGGAAACGGGGGAGTGTGGTGGCCTCATACATCATTCCACGTTGGGTGAACTTTTCTTGAGGCAGGTCCCTGCAGATCACGTGCAGGTGGGTGTGTTTTACCTGTCAATGTCACACCTGTCAGGTGGCTCGAGTCTCGACCCAGGGCACGCCACCACCTTTCACTGTCAGGGAGAGTTAATGTGCTGTCAGGGATGGCAGGCAGTGCGCTCTGCCTGGATGTGGGAACAACAGGTGGAAGCTGGTTGAACCGCAAACAGGGAAGTCAGCATGTCTTTGGGCAGTTTTACAAAGAGTTTTGGAGATAAACGTCCCTTTTAGTKGKGGGGTTTCAGTGTTTGTTTTTGTTTATTTTGAGGTGTTTCCGGGCTCGGAGCAATGGCGTTATCTCAGATCCAGTGCCTGGATGATAACCACGTCAACCCGCGGACGCACGAGTCCAARCCGGAGTTCCTTTACTGCGAGGAGCAGCGGCTCGCGCTCGAGGCGCTSCTGCGGGATGGTGGCGAAGCGTTCGTGAAGTACCTGGAGGCGCGCGGTCTGCGGGGTTTCCTCTCGGACCTGGAGCGGGACGCCCTCAAAGCGGCGGCGGAACCTTTTGACCCGGACAAGGAGYTACTCCAACAGGACGCGGACGACGAGCGGACGCCGCTGTCGCTGCAGTACTGGCCGGAACTTTCGGACACCTCCTTTCCGCAGATGGACCTGGGCTGGCCCGCCTGCGACTCGTACAGGGGGGTGACACGGACCTCGGTGTACACGCAGCCCCCGCTGGACGGTCAGGCCCACATCAAAGAGGTGGTCAGAAAGATGATCGCGCAGGCGCAAAAGGTGGGCTATTTTTATCTTCTTAATAGCCTTTCTTTGTTGCTTTAATTAGTTTTAGCCAATAAGTAAACCATATTTCCTAATCTTATATATTCTTTGTTATTATGCGTTTTGGAATGAGGTTTTGTGATGGTTATAAGCAATTAATATCTTACCTGTTGCAGATAGCTCTTTGAACAGCTTTAGGCTGGAGTTGACTGACACGATTGTTTTCATTTTACTCCAACAATTTTATTGTTAATGTAAATGCTGTTTTATAATCATTTATACTGCAATTTAAATCACATGGTTTGTCTAATATATATATAAAGCCTAATTTTTTCCTGTGATTTATAAAGTAATATGAGTGTGTGTATTTACACTGCTCAAAAAAATAAAGGGAACACTTAAACAACGCACGCTAACTCCCGATCGTAATCAATGAAATATTTGCATTGAGTACTTTGTTCTGTACAGAGTTGCATGTGCTTCACAAAAGTTTGATTTACTTGGACTTAGCGTGCATTGTTTAAGTGTTCCTTTTATTTTTTTGAGCAGTAGTGTTCCCTTTATTTTTTGAGATATATATAGAAAGCACATGAGGTGCTGCTATATGCAGCCATGTAATGCAACATTTATGAAGATATGAATGTGTATAAAAGGAGRAGAGAGTACACTTATTAAATCCTACATTGTTTTATATTGGTGTATCAATGATTAACCAATATTAACATTTAGCCTATCAATGCATTTTAAACTCAGCTAATTGAAAATGTTTAAATCCAATTACATTTTTACTTGGAAACATAAACTTACATAAACATTATGCACATAGAACAGATAGACATACACATAACCTGGACACCACTYCCTCCTAAAATTATGCAAATGTCTGGGGTTGTGAGTTGTCCGTAGGTTATGTCTTTCATGTTCTGTCAATATGTTTAAGTTTACTTAGCTTTAGCTTAGTTTTTATGATCATTACTCATGTTTTACTTCTGTTGTGTGCTCGGTTAGATAGTCTTCATTTCCATATATTCTAGTCCTTACTTAACAACTTATTTCATAATTGACGTGTGGAATAATATATTTGAATGTTCAAGAACGCCAGCATTATCAATTATTTCTCTTATCTGAGGTTGCTACGGAAGCCAAGAGTGGCCATTTCAGCATATAATTTTTTCCATGCATTTCTCATGATAACGTCATATGATGTCACAAAATAAAGAGGACCATTTTCTCGACATATTGAGTTAAATATATTGTTATTACAAAATAACAATTACCGTTTTCTCAAGATAATGAGTCAATTTCTCAATGGTTTTCATCGAGATAACGACATGTRATTTTCTGTGCATCATTCAGTAACCTGATCCCCTCAGCTGGTAATCAGTAAAGTTTAATATATCAGCAGGATCACTGTGTAAACGCCAGCTGGTCTGCAGTCGGGCCAGCTGTCCYCTTAAATGTTGAGGGCTGATATGAAAATTATTTGTACAAGACAACTTGCAATTTCAGCCTGTGTTATGACATAAAAATGACACAATTTTTTTTACACTAGGTTGCCTTCAGGCCACCCTTGTAAAAGAAATCTGCGAACTCGATGGGATTTGCCTGGTTAAATAATGGTAAATAAATAAACAAATGATCAAATA